CATCGTACAAGTGCACAAGCGAGGTAAATTTCAAGTGCACAAGCGAGGTAAATTTCAAGTGCACAAGCGAGTGCTCGCCCCAAATGAACCCTTTGTCTAGTGACTAGTGAGTTCACGCGGGTTTGTGAAGGTTCCACCATGTTCCACCGTTTGTTTGCACAGGCAATTCAACTGCTGTGATGGACTTGTCCTTCAATGAGGAGAACAAGTGACAACAAAGGGCGTTCTTGGAAAACCACTGGAACCAAAACAAGTTGCCTGTCCGTGACCATAACTAGGACGCATAACCTGGGGTACCTGTATGTACCTATGGGATAGTGTTCTGGGGTTCTTCAACCTCTTTTGGAACGTCAAGGATCAGCTGCGACGCGACTCCACCGACTCCCCCAAAGCTCCAAAACGCCCTACTTGGAGTCGCACCCAGTGCTGCCAAATGGTTCTGGGCGGACAAAGGTCGAAATAGGTCGAAATGAAGGCCATGTTTTTGTAGGGGCTCCTGGCCTTACTACTAGGAGCAAGGACGCTACTAGGGCCTCCTGGCATCGCTACTGGGAGCAAGGACGCTACTGGGGGAGGGCTCGGCATCCCTCGTCCTCCTCTTCTCACATCTTCTCACCTTCAGAGCCTGCTTATCTGCTTCTCGTCACCTTCATATGTGTTTAAAGCATGTGGCAGTCATGATGCATGTGTATTCAGTGGCAGTTCAGTTGTATGTTTGAATGCTATAGATCCCTTAGGACGAGATAGTTGTGTGGCGAGTTCCTGGATCGTGTGTCCATCAAGGATGCAACGGACAGCACCCGCCACCCGAAAAGTCGCGTGCGAATACAGGTACTTCTCCACGTTACCCTGCTCCACATGTCTGTTGCGCAAGCACGGTGCAAACACCACCGCTCTCACTTGTCCTGCTTGTCAACCAATCAAAGACTCCGTGCTGGTCGACTTTCTGGTCCGTGCTTGTGCTTGCGCACGGTGCCAACATCTGGTCCAGTTGGGCAAACATGACAAACACCTTGATCCTTTCCGTCGCTGCGGCGTCACGGGGACCGTCCTCCCCGTCGTCCCGCCTTGTTGTGTGGAGAGAAGGCCACCGAGGCATAGCCCTTGCTGGTGCCCTTACGCAAAATGCGATACAGCCTGCCGACGGCATCAACGCATGAGAGACGAGAAGAAGCAACATGAGGCCAGGAGCATGGTTGAGGCCAGAAGAAGCATTAAAGAGTGTGTCTTGAAGAAGCACCTGAGAAACTTCATGTACAGATCAGAACGTTGACTTTACAAGAAAGAACAAATGCCGCGTCACCGAGGACCTCATGTGGGGCCCTCCAGTTGGAGGAACAACTTGCATCACGAAAAACTGGAACAATCCTGGTCTCATCTTTTCTCCACATCCACGTCCGCACACAGCGCAGGGTTGCGTCACTCAATCCTCTTTGTCCTCCTCGTCCTCCTCCTGCTCCTTCTTGGCAAAAGCATCTATTGGATCTACAATGTGTGGCTTTAAAGCGAAACAACTCGGACAACTCCGGCCCAAGTTTCACACAAGTGCAAGGTCCCTGCCATCGGTCTGCTAGAGCACTCCGACAACTGGTTCTACAGGAGTGGTCCGAAACAGCACTTGTGAATGGGGATGGTATGAGTTTTGCAAACCTTCCCCATCTGGCCAATCTTTGAAAATGCCATGAACATGCTACGGTCATCGTGTAACACAGCAATGTGCCGCTACAAGTAGACGAGGCGAGGCCACATTAGGTACAATCCTTCGGACTGTATGCCAAGGAGCCGCTTGCGACCCGAAAAAGAGATCATGCCAAGGACATGTAAGTTTGGTTGGCAGTCCAAAGAACCTCTTACTCGGGAAGAAAGAGAACAAGCCTTGGAAAGAGAACGTGTTGCTGATGCGCTAACCTGACTCTGTCTGACACTATGAAGCCTTACATCAAACCTTCCAGGTTCTTCTCCCCGTCCTCCTCTGCTTCGACACTTGCCTTAGATCCACCGGTCCCACCAGCTGAACTGCCATGATCTCAGAGGTCAGTGGAACCAGAAGTCCAGAAGATGCCCCACCGGAGTCCACAATCGTTGAGCGAAACTAGCAGCTCTGTCTATGGCAAGATCTTTGCAATTCGTGTCCGGACAGTGAAAGCCCACCATTTGCTTGACAAAGGTGGGTCCCGGCAGGAAATGAATGCTCTGGTGTTGCCTTTCATGTTGAACAGAATTTGTATTGCAGGATCCAGTGTTTGCATCCAGTGCCAAAAACTTTTACCGAGATGCCTCAGCACCAGAGCGGTTGGATAGTCTGCAGGGAAGCCAGGCATTCAAACATGTGGAATCCCACTCTGTCTGAACATGAAGTTTGCCGGCCTTTTCCAAAAAACTTGACAATAATAACTATAACCCGACAATACAATCAATCTAAGTCATGAAACCATATGAAAACCAAACATAGACCCTTGGACAAGAAGATCAGACGGAGACAAAAAGTGCGGTCTCCTGCTCCCAACCACTTCGTCCACTTCGCCGTCGTCCTGAGGGGACGATTTGGGCCATAACTGCACCCTCAAAGAAGGCCACGAGACTGCCTGTGATGTGTTCATCTCAGTGCGCATGGAGACATGAACCTGTTCAAGACGATTTATATATATTTATAGGTTACATAAATAAATGTATATATAATATGTTTACATATGTTTACATTATTCAGATGTTTCAGGTACCGCACTAAATGCCACACCCTCCCGACCTGGTCCGACGCCGAGCCCCTCGAGCCCCTCGAGGCCCTTGAGGCCTGAGAGCTCCGGCGCGGCCTCGGGTCAGCGGGGCGGAACGGCGGATGGTGGAAGGGTGTTGAAAATAATACCTGGGGGAGTCTGGAGATGTTGGGATAGTGTTAATTGTTGAAACTTTTTGGAGATGATGTGAGTTTAGTGAAAGCTGCCATGTGAGTTTAGTAGCTTTCTGGCCGTTGCTGGACAGGACAGCCATTGGAAGCCCTCAGCTCTTGAAACTTCCCAATGAAGCTCCTTCGCAGCTGCCATCTCAGTCGTGTTTGACACGCACCAGCCGTGCTGTTTAGGCTTATGGCTCCTGTGATCATAAGTCGCATCTCACTTGAGACAGGGAAACAAGAAAGTGTGTATGTGAGAGCCGTGGCGTGTAAGAATTGCCTGGTGCCAAACTGTGCTGCACAAGTGCGGTCGTATGTCACGCGCGCGCTCCGCATAAGAGCAACCTGGGTCGCGAGGAGAGGTTGCTAGAGCATGTGGTGTGGTGAGGTTTGTCAACATAGAGGCTGTGTTGCGTCAATGCTAGTTTGTGTATTATAAAGAAATATGGTGCGTGAACGCTGGCTTGCGTAAAAGTTGCGGCGTGTAAACGCTGGCGTGTGTAAGAGCTGTACGCACTGCGTCGAAGCCGTGTTGCGCAACCTCATTGTAGACACTGCTATTGCTGCCAGTGAATGGACGTGATGCTATGGTAGGTGATGCTAGTGTTGCTGGTGAGGGGGGGTCACCAAAATAATTGATAAATCAATTATTCATCACATTGGACCATCATCCGAGCAGGCTATTGAAGCTAAACCCTTTGCTTCGCAAAGCAAACTCAAGCTAGCCCTTACCAGGCTACCTTTCGTGACAACCTGTTTTGCCCCTGTTTGGAAAATTCTCGCCTGTGTTCGCCTTCGTCCAGGGTAGAGCTGCGGCCTGTGGAATTTGGCGGACTCAATCAAGCTGATCAAGGTTCTTGTCTTTTCCACACAACTCAGAGGACTGGCAATCAGATTGCTGAAATCATCCGAAGGCTCTCAAACCTCCTCAAACCCTTGAGCCGAACTTCTTCAGTCTTGTGCAACCCCCGAGGTCGGGCGTTCGCTTCGGCGACACAGGCAGGTGTTTCATCTGCGAATCTGCTCGCGCCTGAGGTGCTCCTGAGAGGCTCGACCCCGAAAAAAAAGCTCTCCAGGTTCGGTCAGGTGCTCCAACTGTTTCGGACCTAATCTCCGGGTAACGGTACAGTTGTGGTGTTCCTTTTGGGGAAGCATTCGTAGAGCGACCCCATTGCGGCCCCAACGCATGCCCTAGCTCTAGTCTGCGAGGATGTCTCAGTGTGGCGACCTTTTTCAGATTGGAAGTTCTATCAAGTCCCTATCGTTGGTATTTCATGGATGAAAGCAATGTCAACTCTCCCAGCTGAAAATACTCTGAGCACAATGAGCACAATGGGAAAACACACAGCCGGCCTGCCAGGTTACCCTATCTCCTCCATTCTCATCCTACTTCATGTTGCCAGGTGGACTCCATGAAAATGGCATCAAGTGGACTGATAAGTGATGGGAAATTGTGCGCACGGGAAATTGTGCGCACACTCTCCGCCTCGCAATGGTGCCGCGACTGGCCACTGTGTCGCGGGTGCTCATCACCGTCCCACGGTTGCTGGCCACAGTGCCCCGCATGCTGGCCACAGTGCCGCGGCCTTGGCGGAAGGCATCTTTGCCCTGGATGACCCATGATCGGTGGGGAGTAGCATGAAGTATCCAAAGGAAAGCATGCGTGATCGGGCTAGGTGGGTCCCTGTGTCTCAAAGCAATGCGACAACTGGTTGATACTGATTGACTGTCTGACTGCTCAGGTTTCTTCTCTGATCCAAAGTCGTGATGCTTCGAAACCCTTGTCCCACTTCAGCAACAGATGTTCTCAGATTGCCACCTGTGTTTCTCGATTGGCTCTTCAGCTCCTGATAGGCTTCGATTCGGCATCACAGGGACAACTCATGAGCTCACTCAGGTGTTCACCACATGTTTCATGTTCCACACAAAGCCCATCTTCGCCACCGAGACTCTCCTCGCTCCGAAGGTCGCACGCCCGACCGCGATAGACTCGACTCCCCCGACGAACCCCACTCCCGCTCCCTCGCCTTCAACCGTCGCTGCTTCGCTCGTTCCCGGGCGGCCAAGACCATCCGGGCCAAAGCCTCGTGAAGCGCACCAGGAACTAAGAAGCTACTAGGGGCTCCTGGCATCGCTGCTAGTAGCGATCGGACGCTACGAACGGGCTCCTGGCCTTAGTAGGAACAAGGTTAGGAGCAAAGGGCATCGCTACGAACGGAACAAGGACGCTACCCGCCGAGGTCCGGCTCGTCCCGGGTTGGAGCCGCCGGTCGGAGCTCCGGCTCAGAGGTCCAGTGAACGGTCACCGGGCGTCGGTTGGAAGGAACACCATGCCCGATGGCTTCGCAATGCTTCACAGCTGCGTGAAAGAGCTGAAAGTATCTGAAAGTTAGGGTTGATATACTGGTTGATATGAGAAGCATGAGAAGGAGGTTGGTAAGGTATTGTGAAAATAATCCTGTTGCTGCGGACAAACAAGAATGTCACAAGCAAATTCATACCCGGCAACAAAACGATTGTCATATGTTTGTGCCTGAGCCTCACTTCTCTGCCCCATCTCCTGGTGTGTCAGTTGATATATCCAAGGAGCTCTGCAGAGTGTAAATAAGAGAATAAAGCCGACAACACCTCCACCAATCAGCGCAATCCTTGTGGGAGAGCGAGAGTGAGAGTGAGGGAGAGAGGGAGAGAGGGAGAGAGGGGGAGAGAGAGGGAGTGAGGGAGTGTACCAAGCCGTGCTCCAGCAGCAAGATAACAGAATGCATTATGAAATTATGAAGAAAATGACGCCTCCATTGGCAGCAACTAGAACACACCGCAACGATAGACAATACGGATCACCCGGTGAATCCCTTGCCACAGGACCTTCCAGCCCCAGAATCTCCATCAAGTACTCACACCTTTATATAGACCCCCAAATAGATAAAATCCCTTTCAAAATGTATTGGAAACCGCACCACTATCTATTTGGGGACCACTATACCTTCATTCTTGCCTAAAAAAACCGAGCCACATCACATGGTCGTGGATGCCAAATGCGGTGGCCTCCCACCAAAGCTTCGCTGTAAAGAAATGTCACTCCCCGAAACAATCATGGAAGTCGAAGGCATTGCCCTTTTTAAAAACAAGGTTACCTCATTTTCCAAGAAACAAACTGGCAACTTCCTTCCATGTCCCCAGGCTCCAGGCCCCATTGGGTTCTCTCCAGGCCCATCTCTACACCATCATGATCATGCCCAGTGTCATGAAGATCAAGGCAGAGTCGTCCGGCGGTGGCTCGCGTGAACTGCAGAGCTCGCCACGCATGCGCGCCAAGGAGCTCCAGTCGCATGTCTCTGAGCAAAGGCCCAGACAAACCTGGGAAACCGGGGATTGTTCGCGGCAACTCCAAAAAATAGGAAAGGTAGGAAAAGAGTTGGCTTCGTTGAGTTCGTTGAGTTCACCTCTACCTCTACCTGGTTTGGGCTTGCGCCTGTCTGCTTCGGTTTGCATGTGGACGTCTTGCTACACATTTCAACTTTTGTGCAGCCGACCGTCGGTGCAAAATCATTTTGCCACAGTCGGGCAGCTAGGCCCCCAGGCCTCCTGCAAGTAAATGATGCTACAGTCATTGCAGTGGGACGCGGTCCTGTGCGGCACGCAGGCACGTTCAGTTGCTGCGCCATCCTGTAGGCCGCAAGCAGCATAAGCTAGAATTGAAACTAAACATCCTTTACCAGTACCGAACGATGGAGATGGATTTGAGTTGGAGAAAAACTCCTGGCTGAACCTGGAAAGCATGTTATATAACAGACTACTTAGTGAAAAGTCAGATATCACCAAACGTTTCCTCACCATGACTCGCCATGAACGGACGGTCCGCGTGACTCACCGGACGGTCCGCGTGACTCGCAAGGACCGACCCGCGTTTCCCACGCGGGACTCGACGTCTTCGGAGCTGCGTCACGAGGCGCGAAGGAGAACGAGTCGCGAGTCGAGTAAGCTCACATTGATGAGTAAGAGAAGCCAATTTGGAACACCACATCCGGTTATCAAACGAAATGCATGACATGCCTGGATAATGCACCAAACCACACCGACACACACTGCATTCAAACATTATGTTGTTCTCTTTGCCATCCTGGGGCCAAGTAATTAGGATGGGCGGAGCCCAATGGTGAAGCCATGTTCCAGAGCCAGGAAGAGCCTAAAAGTCCACTGAGGATTCTTCTAATTTGCCCCTCAATGTGGCTGCATCATGCTGCCTTTCTGAAATGGTCTGTCCCTGGAGGAATAAGGTCCCCGCAAGTTTTGCTGAATCTATACCAAACCGGGGGAGTCCCAAAAAGGACAGTAAGACAGTATGTTCACCCATGTTGCGCTCAACAAAAAACTCCTCTGAGCGTCAACAGTGTCAACGCCCAACAACTCTGGGCCTTTTGATAGAAGAAGACCTCAACAATGGAAACATTCTGTCAAGTCAGAGCATTCCTGAGACGTCTCTTATGATATGTAGGTTGTTCATTCTTTTAATTATTTTACCTCAGGAATGTTCTGACTGAGTCTTTTTAATATGACAGTGTCACAAGGTGTCACGAGTCACGAGTGTTCAAGAGCTGAACCCGCCAACAACCTATGTCAAAGCGCACTCTGTCTGTCAAAGCACGTGGCATATGGGCACCCGCCATCGCTACGGAAGAAGACTCCGTCCACATCGCAGCCTAGAAATCGAAGGACGCGTGACGGCGCATGACGCGCAGCCAGCAACAGCGACATGGTTGAAAAAACAAGAAACCCCTACTCCATTCAACTCCCCATTTCCCATCAATCAAGAAGTCAGAAACCCCCAGTTCATCGAATTCAGAGGTGAAAGTGGCAAGAAAAGGAGAACCATGGACTAGTCAGTCTCATCAGAGTCTCAGGTTCCCAGTCTCTCTCAGTGCTACACATGTTGGGACTTGTCAGTGCCTGAGTCGTTGAGGTATCCCACAGGCGGAACGCATCTCATGCACCTGGCAGCGTGGAGGTGCTTGGGCCAAACCATGGACCCGCCAGCACTTGATATTTATGCTAAACCCGCTGTCAATGATCTTTCCGAAATCTATCTAAACTCATATCATAAAAGCACATAAAAGCACTAGTCAATCATAAAGCTTCACATAAAGCTTGCCGTGAAGCACCCGATTCCGAGGACATCCTACTATATGTATTTTAATATATACTAGTAACAAGAAGCTACTACGGGCTCCTGGCCTTACTACTAGGAGCAAGGACGCTACTAGGGGCTCCTGGCATCGCTACTAGGAGCATTCTTACTACTAGTCACAAGAAGCTTATATACCTTGGTTTCATCCTGTTTCATCTCTCCCCATTCTTCGTTCACCCAACCGGTGCAGAAATCGCGCCACGTCCGCCTGTCGTTCCACTGGCATCGCTTCTGACCGTTGGACGTCGGCAGCCGGCTGCCCAAGCAGGTCCGGGGCGCTCGGGGGGGCGGTGCAGCGGCGGATGGCGTACTCCCCCAGCACCGAGCAGCTGGGGATCGTATCTGGCACCGAGCGGCACTCTGTAGAGTGGCTTACGGGCGCTAGACGCGGACGCTCTGCACAGAACCATCGTAGAGTGGCTAGGACCAAGATGACTAAGTAGCTGCGATTCTGAAGGGCTGGAGCACCAATAGCTCCACACAGTTAGTCAAACCGAGTGGATCGGCTATGCCGCTGTCTTCAAGACTGCTCGAATATGCTCATTGACTCTTATTGTTTCTTGCTCAAATGTGTGGATTCTATGAAAAAGTCCTTCTATATCTTCCATCACAATGCTGAGGTTGCAATTTTGACCAGAGCCTTAACAAAGAGTTAAGAAAAATAAGATACAATCCGCCAAACCCTTCTCAGAGGCGGTTGGTCGTCAAATCATATCAAATCCATTGTTTCACCAGGTTTCACACTTCAATCGCCTTCCACCTGGACGTCATCAATGAAGACATCGAAGCTTTCGTTGAAAAGGCTGTCATTGCTTTCGTTTTCATCCATACTTCAGCAGGTCCGGCCATGGCACTAACCACCAGCGTCTATGCGAGTAGATTCGGGGTATTGTCAAATGTATGTAGTAGTAGTTTTGCTTCACTCAAAGCCATCCCATGGCATTGCACAGCATGAGCCCAACACCGAACGCACATCTTAGTATATAACTCTTCAATGTAAGGGACAAATTCATGTAATGGCAAACAAGCTGATCTCATGACCTGTCCAACGTCGTAGCTCGAGATCGTACTGGCATCATGTTGTTGCTGTCCATGAAAAGCTTGAGAACATGCAGCTGCTGACGCTTGGAACTGCTTGAGTCACGAACAAACAGTCGACTCTGCTTCACACAACAGTCAAAGTCTTATTACCAGCGCCAATATTGTTCAATACCATCCCAAGGATTTCCTCCGATGAGCTTGTATCTCAAGGAAAATAGATCTTTATGACTGGAGGAATGAACTTCCAATAGACTTTCCTCCAGATGATTCCTTCTCCAAATTTCAATCGATCTCCGGCGCAAGCCTCATGGTCTTGAAGGAGTAAATGTAGACCTCTGGATGAGTGAAAAAGGAGGAAGATGCGAGTCGCCCTCTCCACCGACGTAAATCCATCCAGATTCGCAGTTGGGCTATTGAAGCGATGACGGTACAAATCCAAGGATGAAAAAAACACAGGACAAGGTGTTCGGAAACATTCAGAAACCAAGTAGTGAAACAATTTGAAAGACACACACAAAAAATAAAATAAAAACAAGAAAACATGCTGTTCTGTAATCACTATTGCCTGCTTACTGCCTCGACTTCCTGTGATCCCGGCATTGGGAGTACTGCTAATGCTCCGCTCGGCCGCTGCGAAGTAGACCATATCCGGTGACATCTGGGCGACATCGCTGCGAAAGCACGGCGGATCACGTCCGGCGGCGGATCCTTCCCCCAGTCACCCAGTGGAATTGGGTGGGGATGAGCAACCCAGTCACCGGAGGATTGAAGCCAGGAACCTGTGGGTGAGTCTTTTTCGGGCAGTGGCATGTGTGCGCTCCCTGTTGATCATGTCTTCAGGTTAGTAAGTAAGGCATTGCATTACATCACTTGGCACCAGTATATGACCTCCTGGACTCCTGCAGGTTAGACTCCAACCCAGATCTGTTGCATTTCTTTGCGAAGGCTGCCGACTGCTGCAAACCTGAATTTGTAGGCCTCAACAAAGTCTCGAACTGGACATGGTTGTCTGAAACGTGTCCAGGAGTATCAGCATACCTTCTTGTTGATGTTTCTAGTAGCTTCTTGTTACTACTAGTAAGGCACTTGTTACTAGAAGCGATGCACTTGTTACTAGTAGCTTCTTGTTACTACTAATTCCATGTAATTCCCTCGTTTTTCGAGTGTCTGTCTGAAGGTCCACCGCACCTGAAGGTCCCCCGCTTTCTTCGCCAGTGCAATTCGGCGTTCGACGTGGCGCGGCGTCTGGATGGGCGACCCAAAGCAAATATATTGAGTTCAATCCAACCAGCACATCAACGAAGCTTGATTACCTTGTTGTTTTCGATGTTGGTACAACTACTACTGACCTACCTTGTTGCACTCAGCCACCTGTGGGCGCGCGCTGGCGGACCCGCGACCCACGCCACGTTAGCGCTCCGATCCAAGGCACTGCAATGGCTCCAATTCCGCCACTGTCTCTACCATGCAAAAAGCGCCGCTGCCGCGTTTCTGGGGAAAGCTGGCCGTCGGCACAGGGGAAAGAGACCTTTTTGCAGAGAAGATGAATACAATATATATATATATATAATATATGTATGGAATTATATGGATATATGATATATATATATATATATATATATGTGGCCTCCACCCTACTAGCGATGGCCTCCAACCTAGTAGGTTGGAGGCCATATTATGACGACCTCCATCATCTGATGAGCAACAACTGGACTGGACTTTCGGAGAATTTTTGGAACCCAACTCGGCTCTGTTGATGGAGGACTTGTGCTCAACAAAGCTTGTGATTCAGAGAAAAGAATCGAAAAGAACCGCACGCTTAGTACAACAGGTGTGTACCCCAGTTGGATTGATAAGATTGTTGGTTGTTGATGACATTTGTAGGGTTGCTTGAGAGGTAGCGCCGTAGGTAGCGCACACTGCTAGGAACCCATCTCAAGACTAATCTGCACCCCACTAACATGCCACCAAGCAACGAATGTTCATGAAGCACGCGACATGGCCGGTGATGTAAGCAAACTCCTGGAAGCAAAGACTTCTTGAACGGAAATTGAGATGAACGACCAATGAATGCGCACGAATCATGTAGTGACTAATTACATTGTAAATGGTCATTATATAGGTATATCTCCCATTCCCAGTCAGAGTGGATGATGGTGGTTAGAAAAGACCGTTCTCAGGAACAGTGATCATCGTTTTACCGACTGTTACAGGTCATGGGACACACCAGCACAGCACCCCTATTTATATATGCTACTGTCTGTATATAAAATATAGTCACATCATCACTTCTTCCAAAGTGTGACAAGGTGACGACCCCTGCTCGCGTAGGTAGAATGTCAGTCCTCTTTTGAGGTCCAAACTGCATTGTTCACCCGGCTGAAATCGTAGCCTCCATATGATGGGAAAATTGAAGCTGGTGCAATGATATCATGACTCTTTGCACCTGCCATTCCAAGTGGGATGAGTCTGCAAAGTGCTTGAGTGCTACAGGTAAAACATTGCAAAACCACCTTCAATGCAAGCGACGCTGCACTGTTGACTTCTTCTGGCTTCTTTGCTTCGCTCACACTTCTCGACCAGTTCCATCCAAGTGGCTTTGCTTCGCTCATTCCGTCCCATCTGATGCTTTCCCCGGCCGGACGAAAAAAAAACAAAAAAACGAACCACCGGCGCCGCCCCAGACGACCGGCGGACGGAGCTTCTTTAAAGCGCGCCAAGGCACCCATGAACCGCGACGCTTTGGTGGCGCTTCGGGGCAGCTCTCGATCCTGGCCAGGGGGCAAAGAAGGAAAAAAACAAATGAAAATATGACTAGTTTAAACAGATATACTATACTATATATATTATATGATATGTATTGATATGTATGTATTATATCTTTGCGTATTTTTAGTTAAGCATCTGAAGAAACATAAAGGTCTACATGTTAAAAGAAAGAAAGCAAAACTGAATCCAGACTGACGGATTCAGATCACTCCAGATCACTTCGTATCAGGGCAATTTAGTAAGAGGGCCCATATATATAGAGAGAGAGAGACAAAGAGAGAGAGAGAGAGCCCACATCCTCGGTGGATCGACGGTGGATCGGAGAGCCCACTCCCGACCGCGAACTCCGGTCGTAGCGGCGGGCGCGGAAGAGGCGCTGAGGACGACCGCGGTCGGCGCCCGACGTGGGACTCCTCCAAGGTGGGGCACAGGTCCGGGGCGCTGGGATCGTAGAAGAAGCTGGGAGGCATTCGCCACCTGAGCGTCTACTACGGCGTATGCCGGTGTGTTTCACACCCCGCGTGGGGTGATTTTCACACCCCGCTCGGGGGGGAACACCTGTTTGGATTTCGGACGATTTCGGTGTGTAGGCTACCAGGTCGTTGAAAAGGCGGATCGGGCAGATCTGTACTCTGACCGCTGATCTTGAGGTGCTCAGACCAGGAACAGGGCTAAGGCTGAAGCTTGGCTTCTTCTGCGTCCAGCTTCTCCTGGGTGTCATCTCCAGGAATGGATTCACAGATCCTTAGCACGGCTCGACAGCTGTTCCATGCGGTTCCACCCACCGGTCGTTGCTACGTGATCATGAGGGCTACAACCAAGCTATGCAAACGAGCAAACGATTTGAGCGTCTTGAACCTACAAGGAAAAACAGGCTGAAACCAGGAACTGACATGGTTTCCTACGATCAGGTGGTTTCCATGGAAACGTTCCCGGGAGTGTAAATCTTTATCAGGCGCTTTCCTGCTGGCCATTTCCTGCGACCGCGCGGAGCGCCCCTGCCAGGGCACGAGGAGCTGCGCTTCCGTCGGATGCCCTCGATGATCTCTTTGGAGGCTTGCCTGCCCCGGCAATGCGAGGGGTCCGTCACCTTTGTGTGGAGCCCCACAATGACAATAACAGTGTCTAGTCCCCACAACATTGAGCACTACGACTACTATGGTGGTAGCTCTGCACCTCAGTCGCCAGTAGTTGAGTTTCGCCTCAAAAAAACTGTGGCAGAAGCTGTGAGGGGCTCCTGTGCCGATGTGGGAGTTCCCAGATTTCTCAAGTTTACCTTGCGAGCAAAGGCTGCCGCTTCAGGCCATTATTGATATGATGGGTGGCATCCAGGTTCTTCTGCCAGTTATATACATACATACCCAAGTCAGCACTGCCGAATACAGGCCATGCCGCTTCCGGAGACCAGTCGCCGCCGCTACCGGAGACTGTAACTAAGGTAAATCAAGGCCGCTCAGAGCCGCTCAGAGCTCTTTCATGTCTCCCTTCCCACCTCGTGATCGGAGGACCTCTCCTCACCACCTGGCTTCCGGGAAAGGTATTTGGAAGTGATCATCTGCTGAGTCATCTGAGAGGATATATATATATATATTTGTACAGCATATAATATACTATATAACATTATATATATATGTATATATAGAAGTCCAATGAAGTCCAAAGACTATTTTTGGCACCAACCAAGTAAAGGAAATTCCTTTTCGGATCACCTGAAAACCGTTTTAAGCATGGTCTTGGACTCCCAGGGTATATACATAATTAACATTAATTGACTATACATTGTTACATTGTACTATAAACAAATATAAACAATATAGTTTCTCAGAGCAACTGTATCAAACGCCCATCGCGAATCAAGACGAAGGAAGGGACCTGGATGACCTGGATTCTGGGAAGTTCGGCACACCTAAGATAACCTAAGCATACCATGCAAAATACCGACGAACGTCCATGGCATGTGATGGGTTCATGAGACCGTCCCAATCTCGGGGTAGAAACCTGAGAAAAGAACTTCACTCCGCGACCCGATCTTGGTGTCCCTCTTGACGCTGCCCGTTTCCTGAGACGAGGCCCGGCCTTCTCTACCGGGCTATCATCGCCTGACCGGCACAGCCACAAGAGGTCTACAGGTGAGTGGGAGACTGTCCAAAGAGAATGCTTGCTTGTGGTAATGGACCTACTGAACAGGTTCCGATCAATCACCCTGCTTCACACACCAATGGTGGTCTCTTCGTTCTCACACCTTGCTGGTGGTCTCCTGTCTCCATTTCGATGCCCAGAATCGAGCCAAGGCGTCCACAGCTGGATCGTTTAACTGCCAGCTTTGCACCCAAAGTGTCCTGGTCCTCCAAGTCCCTTGAAAGCCTTCCATTCAAATTATGCGGAAAGCAACACCGTTCGGCGGATATTCCCGGCCTTCTGTTTCGGTGGCGTCGCTGGGACCCTGGCGGTCAAAAGCCGGTGGCGGAAGGAATGGTTCGATGTCAGCACCGGGAATACGACATGGAACAAGAAGCTACTAGGGGCTCCTGGCATCCCTACAGCAAGGACGCTACTAGGGG